GAAATTGAAAAACCTGGAATCTCAGCTGACCGCCATCCACTTCAAACCCACTTGCTAAAGTTGACATTTCCTCCATCATTAAATGTAAAGATGCAACGAATTTCATATGTTGTGCTATCACATCCATAACGCCAATGCCACTGTTACCCTGAAATCCACATAATAGAAATAAATGAATGCAACAAATAAAAAAACAATTAGAAGCCAGCCATCCCAACCAGTATTAAAGACATCATACCAAAGAACCTTCAGGGACCACTGGCACCGGTTTTTCCTGTCCATGGCTATTTTCCCCTTGTTCCTGGAAAAAAAAAATCATTTCTACACAAACAATAATTTTTGTCAAAAAAATGAGTAGAATACTTCATCTTCATCGCCACTCCAGTCCAACTTCAGTTCATCGTCTGTTGTGACAACAGTAGGCGCAGACCAATCAACTGTTGCAGCTTTGTCATTTTCAGTCTTAGTCTTCTTGAAAATAGATGAATATAGAAAACTTTTATATAATTTTTAGCAACCAACCAATATATGAATGCTATCGGACATAAAAAATTTAGTAACCTCAGAATCACCAGCCAAAGTTTTTAATAAACCGGAGTGAGGGCCAGCCAAATACACGGTTCTTGGCAGACGCATCAAAACATCAAGCGCAAGCATAGGACAACCAGAGGCCATATGAGCACTTGCAGTACGGAAGTACAAACGTCTCTCACTTGGTGTTACTATAGCAGACAGTTTCTTTGCTAGAGCCAAAAACTGTTCAGTAGACCCAATCTAGATTTTAAAAAAATGAAATAATAGCGAGAAAAAAAATGCAAGAAGCTTACACATCAATAATGACTACCTGTATTCCAGCATCAGCCAAACGTTGCCGAACAACTAACGGGTGATTTCTCAAGAACGTGTAAAAGTTAAAAATATCAGACAACGAGCAATCAGTTGAAGAATTCTCAAAGTGACTTCTGCTTCCTTCTTGTAGCAAAGTTGCGGCCGCTCGTGAATATTCCTTCAAAATCCAGAACGCCATAGAGCGCACAAACGGATCACTGCAGAAAAAAGATATCAGAAAAAAATTAAACAATTTTGACTATGAGATATTGAAAAATAATAATTAAAAGGTAAAACTAAACAATTCAGAAAATTGCTAATCATTATAACCTATTAATTTTTGAGCTTTGAGCTAATTCATCGTTTTCAGTCCCAATGTTCTTTCGGTCAGCGTCCTCTAACTCCTCTACCTCAACCCCCAAAACTTCTCGACAGAAAAGCTCTCGCATTAATGACCATCTCGAATCAATGTCACTTTCATAAAGTCGTATAATTACCATTGCTAGTTGCAAATCATGCAGCTTGCTTAGGACAGTCTGCAAAAAAAAGCAACCCGTAAAGAAAGAAACATCTAATGCCACTTCCAAAACTAAGTAAAGCTAGTTTTTGAAAAATATCTTTTTAACATTAACCACAACAGTATTAAAAGTATCTTAACACTGCAAAACGAAAAAGGTATTTACTTGGACAGCATCTTTCAGAGAGCCTGACAGCAGAAAAAATGCCGCAGCATCTTGGAAACGCTGTTTCCCCATTAAAACAAAGGCGTTTTTTGCTGCGGCTTTCCGCCATTTCTCCTGTCGAAAGTCTTGAGCAAAGAAATCAGCCATCCGTTGATCTTTAACTGTCTGAAAAGTGAAGGTTCTTTAGCAGAAATTACACAGAAATTTGTGAATAAGTTGAAGACGGAACCTTAAACAAGTGCGTGAGAATGTTCTTCTTTCTCATTGCCAAATAGTAAAGAGCAGCATCCAAAGGATTTTGGCGCTGTTGAAACGCAGCATGAGCTAGCTGTAATCAGTAAATACAAAAAAAATATTCACATTTTGAAAATAATAATAGTGCGGATAATAAAACAATAGTAATGATAATGATAATGACAATAATAATAGTAATAGTAATAATAATAATAATAATA